AGGTCAAAGTCGAAGGGAATGTGAATGGCGAAGCGTGATGGTTTGACCCGAACGTCACATTCGGAGTCAAGGAAGGATCCGTATACCCAGCAGACCGTATACCACTTTGTACTGAGCCGATTATGGCATTTCTCAAGAGTCTCGACATGTATGTACATCTTACACCCAAGCATCTCACTCAATCCTATCTCATACAAACGCATCACCACGGGAGCGTAGCGAGCTTGTTGGCAGACTTGATGAACAAGGTCAAGCACGTCCCGACACCGCTGAAGTACAGCGCGGAACGAATGTACGACCACGCGCCTGAGGATTAGGACTGTTTCCTGTTCTTGTCTATCTGCCCAGGGGAGAACGTCGAAAAACTCACGGTCCTCGATGAGGATGTAGGCAACGTTGTAGGCGAATCGCAAGGCGAGGTAGCCTCCTGCGCACAAGTGCAATGTCCTCGAAGGGAGATGGACTAAGTTGCCCAATACCTATCTCGTCAACTTCACACGGGCACTGCAAGGCCGGGTCTATACTGACCAAAGCCGATGCGAACAAGGGGAGGTTGACGTGCGAATTGTTATTCGCTGCTACAGCTCTGATTACTCTTTTATAAGTCTGCCTGTCAGTCTCCTCCTGGTGCTGCCTCGGCAGGGCGGATGGCGAGGTTAGACTGTGTGACCTTCGCTCACCTGCTCTGGGAGCCGCTCCTTGAGGTTGCCCCAGGTCTCACTTGGCATCGCATTGTTGTATGTCCCCCTACTCGTCGACTCGGCTGTACCGATAGCCCACCAAATGGGCAACATCCTGCACTTGTCAGCCTAGATGCTGTACCTACAAGGGTGGAGACCCTATACAGGGGGCAGCTATCATCTCCAGGAGGATACCCACGAAACGACCCATCCTGCAGGGACGGCGTAGAGCGAGTAGTTGTGCTTGAGACCTGGAGTGGAAGCGAGGTAGGCGAACGACATGGCTGCACGATTGTGAGCGGCGTGGGTATGCAGACGGGGCTGAGAATAGAGTGGGAAGCGTAGAGATCTATCTGGTAACCAAGGGGACTTATACTTGCCGGACACACGCTAGAGCAGGAGGGAGGGATCACCTAACTTAACACCAAAGTTAATCGCTGTAGATATGACGTCGTCGCAACAACGTGTCACTCCCCCCTTCGATCCAAGCCTACACCCCCGCATGGCATGTGCCTATCTGTAAGTGTGGCACGTATGATAGTGGATGTGCCAGATAACGAGTGCAGAAAGATAAACCCCACAGTGTGAACCGAGTCCGAGTAGGGTCATTCGTCAACCATTGACATGTAGGTGTATTATTCTATTTGACAAGTTCGCGATCGACACGAGAGATTGCTCAGATCGTGTTCCTTGTTCCGCTCAATCACCTCTTTCCGCCCCTTACAGTCCAACGTAGCCGGTGAAGAATCGATTTCCTGCTTGGACGAACAAGGTGCATGCTGCGCCGATACCGGTAAGGTACGAGACCGTTCTCAACTTGCCGAGGAGGGCTGCTTATCAGTATGTGGTAGAGCGACATCGGACGGTGTAGTTGGTGGTGTCAGACAGACCCCAACCCAGATGCCGTCACTCACTGGTCGTGTTGTTGATGTAAAGGTAGTTGAAGACGATTCGGGAGAGGAGGTAGACACCGGCAGCCGTGTTGAGCGTCTTGGCGTTGAGCCTAGCGACGTGTCCAGCGACCTAGGCATTGTCAGCATCAAGCTCACTTTCCTCCGGTACCTGTGTTGACACCATGTGCCTCAGGGGGAAACTCACGATAGCAGCAGCGAAGAAGGGCAAGGTGATGAATCCGTTGTTCTGAGCGGCCTCGGCTCGCAAGAATCTGCCAGCCATGTAAGGCGACAATTTCGCGTCCTTGACTCGTTCGTGGTTCACCTTCGGGTTGCAGATATCCCACTCCTCCACTCCGGGGGCTCTCTCCTTGTTGAACAGGGCGATGGCGTAGAAATGAGGGGCAATGCTGCGTTTGAGTCAGTTTATGGGTTCCACTGAGACAAGGTCTACGCACGCCAGACCCCACGCGGCGGGAATGGCGTAGAAGGAGTAGTTGTGAGCGATGTTGAGGCCTGCGAACGACATTGCGAGTGGACTTGTATTGACAGAAACGAGAGTGTAGAGGAGAAAAAAGGTGGCTAGGATGAGATACAAGGGGGAAAGTCCTGATCCATGCGTATCGTTTTATACCGGCGTCTGGAATGCTCTTTCTGTGGTCCGAGGCCACTCGCTCATGACGTCGAGTAAATAGAAGCCAGGGTTACTCACCGAGCCGAATGCCGAAAATGAAGGGAAGTTTAGCCGATTTTAGCAGAAGACATCGGTGATCGCCGACCTTGAAGCACTCATTCCACCCCTCGCAAACTCCAGGTGCCACACACGGAAATATCGCACGATATCCCGGTCTCTTGCGCGAGCTCGAGATTTCAAGATGGACTGACTATTCATCGCATACACTTCACTGAATCTATACATCTAGACCACCCACCTCATCTGCATCATGTCGCGCTGTTTCTCCCGCTGCGCGTCTATCGCCTCTTCGAGCTCATCCTCCACCGCTGGCGCCGTCCGACGATATGCCACCAAGCCCGGAGGCTCGTACTCAGGCATGGCTGCCGCCCCTTCCGACTCTCGAATGGACACATTTAAACACATCCTCTACCCGCTCAACTCGCACTTGCCCTTATCCCCCGCTCCTTCCGGCGCACACCACCCGGACCACTTGGCGCGTGTCCAGGCAGTGCTCCCGAACCCCGAAGTGCACGAGACGATCGAGCGAGCGTTCAAGCTTCTCCAACGGCATCGCAGACGAGCCAGGACAGACGAGCTGAGAATAAAGTTCAAGGCGATGGAGGTGGCCTGTGACGACTTGAACGAGATTACGATGCCGAAAAAGGGCAAGGAGACGTATGATAGAGCGATCTATGTCGCCGCGGCCAAGCGACCTGATCCATGGGCGAAGCCGAAGCCTGTTGGCAAGAGAATCAGCCCGGAGGAAGTGTGGAAGGAGGCTAGGATCGAGGGTTTGATGCCGAGAGAGATTTGGGTGCCGACAGAGACAAGAGGGAAGGGGTGGAACTATGAGTGGAAGAGGCCTTCCAGCGCTTAGGTGTGTGAGCCGTCTAGTGAGGAGAGGTGGAACGCTGATTCCAGAGGTTCTACGATGGAGTAATGCATGGGACTTCTAGTAACAAGAGGCGCGCAAGTGTGCCGGCAAACGAATAAGATTAACAAGTGGTTAACTGGTATCAACAAGAAAAATCTATCGAGCATTCAGACTGAGCAGTGTGATTCGTGGCGAACAATGTTCGGAAGCAGAGCAAGCAGGAGACGGCGGGTGAAAGGTGAAATCGTGGTCGAATCATGTTTCCGATCTATCGGATCGTCTATGTTCTGGCCGAATAGACAGCCCCGGCCCGGACCTGCGCGATGTTCATCCCTTCATCGTCGAGGATCGATTTGAGGTAGACGATGTCGGCTTTTGCCTGTTTCAGGCCCTCTAGCGAGAGCTGAGGGAGGGTGTTTTGCTGCACGTGTTCAGCTTTGCTACATCGGCACCGCTGAAATAGACTCACCAGCCTGGCGAGGCGCTCGGCCAGGACAGGTCGGAACTGTTCGGGAGATTCCACCAGGTGGATGTATTGCTCGGACAAGGCGTATCGCTTGGGTGAGCGTCTGGGCGTCAGTCTATGTCGAAGCATAGTGCATCAATGATGTGGATGATCCTCCGGGACGACCTACGGTGGAGACGGGGTCTGAGGCATGTTCTGCATCCAGTTGGACGAGACATTGCGGTGAGGGTTGCCACTGATACATGAGCGTCTAGTCCTCTCTCGCGGGGCGAGCGGCCTGTCATTGCTTGCTCGGCAGAAACCGGACGGTATCGGGGGGCATTGAGACTTACGGCTGGGGCGAAACGCTCATTTTGGGTTGAATTGCCGATTGGTTTGGAACGGGTGCGAAAGGCGTGAGTCTTGGTTCGAGGGGAGTCGTATAGGAGGAAGTCACACGATGAAGTTGCAAGAGCGTCTATGCTCGTATCCCTTTATAAGGAGCTCTTTCGAGTTCTCAGCCACCAAAAAGCCGGCGGCAAGAGAGCGTTAAGTGACGTCAAAAGTATACCAAGGTTGCTGACGAAACACAAAAAACCCTCCGATAATTGTGACCTAAACCGCCAGTAACTCTAGATCAGTCCCTCTCTGTCTGCCCTTGCCCAATGTTGCCCCTCGGATTCCAGCAAACTTACCTCGGGCCTTTTGCCGTTAGCGAGTTTCCAGCGTTTCTTGGTGCTGTTCCCTAGAGGTCGGGGAGAGTGCGGATAGGGATGAGCGAAAATCCGAGCTGACGTGGATGAGGGTGGGGACGGGGTGTGCCCCTGTAACTGAGTCATGATATGGGCGACCAGTGTACGAGCACACCACCATGCGGATGGCAGCAGGGAGTCACAAGGGACGAGTACGTGTCCTTTGAGTTTTTCCTCATCCCCATTCGGTCTTACACGTTAGAGGGTATCAGAAATATCTCTCCTCCCTTTCTAGCGTGGGGGCACTGTCTCGATCGATGACACACCACAGTCTCTCCACAGGAGGCTTACTCGCTAGCGCAGGACGAAAGGAAACATCTCGCTCCCTGCTGCACCACTGAAACTATTTGCGCATTGCTCGACGTCGTTGACCGTGAGAAAATCTCCGAACTACCGAGGTGAGGGATTGTACATCGAGGCTAAACAACCCGAGGCATAATTGCGTTCGGTGCGACTTCGAGTGACATTACCTCGGAGGCCGATATGCTGGGTCCCGAGCTTCTCCGGGTTATCCCTTCCCTGTGTCTGTAGGAATGCGGAAGGTTCCACAGAGCTTAGTCGTCAGGAGTACTGGAAGGCGAGCAGATGGGACCAGACGAGATTACCGTACGAAGCTTGCACAGCACAACGCTAACAGTATATATTTTTCGCAGAATGTTGCTTACAACAACAAGCAACTAGCAGCCTTGGCCCAGTGGTAAGGCGACAGACTTCGACGTTTGTTCTACTAGAATCTGTAGATCGGGGGTTCGATCCCCTCAGGCTGTTCAAGCATTTGCTTTTTGCCTTCGCCCGGTTTGGCATGCGAATCGTCGCTAATTCGTTCCTCTTTTTGGGTTTTGTTTCCGCTTTTACATCCGGTTCAAGGCTTTGTCGAAGTGAGAGGCATCGGACCCTCTGCCCAGATAGCTCATAGTACAAACCGCCACTGTGGCGGGGTTTGCTGACCTCCATGGTGACGGGATCGACCTTTTCTGACTCTGCTTATCCACTCAAGTCACATTCATGTTGGGTCACGTACCTGGAGGACTGGCGGTGCTCCAACCAAAAACGACATGACGCAGTAGTGAGTCAGCGGAATACAACCCACGGGTTCTGGCGAGTCGCTATGTCACTATTCGAGATATTCAGACCTTACCTATCCAGTCTTCGCCTCTGCTCGATTCTCGACTTGACACATACTGCACGACTTGCACAGCTCTCCTCCCATACATGCGCTTTTTGCGGCTGGTCCGGGGGGAGGGGGTTACCCCGCAACATGCACGGCCACATACATCTGCCACCTGCCGACGCTGCTTCAAGGGTGCAAGCGTGCCACAGCATATCAAACACAAGCCGCATTATGCGTTGAGAACGTAATGAAATTGTAATGAAGACAGAAATATCGATCAGCAATAATTGAAATCGTTCCACGCAAAAACCGGTCGTCCCTCCGCTCAGCATGAGCTCGGGCAAGGCTCAAAGAAGATGTTGGAGGACTTGCCCCCCTCCAAGCTTCAAGAGCTTTGGGACCTCACAATGGTGCGGCTGTCGACCCTGTATTCCCGGTCTGTTGGGTGCTCTCGGGTCCCACCAAGCGGTGCTTCTCTAGGGAGTCCTTCACGTCTTGCCAAATATCCTTCAGTCATTTTGTCGCGAGATCTCCTCCTTTGAGGAATATCTCGAGCCGCTCCTGGTCCGCAGAGGACTCGAAGCTTTCCTTTTCCGCGGCGGTCAACGGCGCGAATGCCTTCCCGTAGGCAGAGATGAGGTCTTTACGGTTCCGCAAATCTTGACGGCTCGTTCGCAAAAGGTGCGGTGGCTCGGAACTCCGCTGGTATATCGTGCCTGCATCGCCTTGCCAAGATCTCACAATTTCGTCGAGCTCTCTGACGGATGCCAATCGTTCGGATCCTACCTTAAACTTCTCGATCACAGCCCTGAAGTGCCCGACTTGATGAAGGAGAAGTTCGCCCCGCCACTCGAGCTCGTCAATCTTCTCCCAAGCTTCGTGCTCCGCTTCTGGTACAGCTGCCGCCGCAGCGACTGCTCCAAGGGCACGCGACGACACCCAGGATGAATCATGGGATACTATTGTCGCTGTGCGTCCAGAAGCCATCGTGTTGGATCGTAAGGGGAATGATAATGAAGTGAGAGTGTCTGAAGCAAAGAGGGGATGTTGGGAGCTCTGGAGATACAGCGCTCGAAAATATATGTCGCTTGGAATGAAAGGGGTGAGAGAGTCTGGATATCTTTCAAGGACCGTCGTCGCGTGAGCGTAAAGGAGCGTGTGGCGCGACATGGTGTCTGTCCATCGTAGTCATGTCATGCAATCGCCGAGGGAACATTCTGGCAAACCGGGCGAGGTGGCAGTCGATGGATGCGCGTTTCGAACATGAAACAAGCCGCTGTTGTACTGGATACAGTAGCCACCGGAAAAAAGTTGTCAAGTGGCGCCTTTACACTGTAGAGCCTACATTTCAAGACACTGTTTTTTTACAACATCTCCATGCATACATCCAGGACCTCTTCAGATATCAATGCTTAAGAGGCATTTACATATGCTAAATCTGCCTGGCAGCTATGCATGAACACGATGAGGGTGCTGTAAGGGCTCAAAGATCAGCTTCAGCAAAAATCCAGAAAATCACAGCCAAAATGTCCAAAAATGCGTCAAAATTCCTCTCATCTCACTTTGGGGAATGGCAGCTCCTGCATCATCGACCCCATGCAGCTGAGATTCGATGTCAGAGATTGTTCACCTAAATTTCACCTTGATGAGTGTTCAGCGTGGATACATGCATAGTGATGTGAGCTTGAAACGACGACTTGAAAAGTGGCCTCTGCGGTGCGAAAATGCCACTTGACAACTTTCTTCCGGCGGGCACTGTATCGGTGCTCGCCACCACGAAGTGGGTCGCATGAACTCCAACGGATGCCACAACATCATGACTCCGGACCAGGGTTATGGGACACCGTGTTTCATTCCAGACCTGAGGAGCCTGTGTCATGGTGGAGAAATATGCAAGAACCCTAATTAGATGCAGTAGCTATTGCTTCTCGTAGTACTCAAAGTCTAGTCTATCGACTGTGATCAACTTGATATGTACTGTACCCTGGGACGGCTCTTCTGATCCTTCGAGACCATGACATTTTCAAGAGTCATGCCTTGCAGGTGTAATCGACTGAAGAGACGTTTTTTCTGCTCACCGCGCATGCCTGAAAGCAGGACGGGCTATGGAAGTGACGGCGAAAGAGAGGGACGGAACGTATACGATGGGGTGGGGCGGAAGCGGCGTGATCTGGGATGAGCCCGCTGGAGATTGCTTTCAGCTGGGCAGAAAGGGCATGGGTGTGACAAGGTGGCAGTCCAGCTGCACGGCCGCATGCACCCACCAGCTCAAAGGTACGTGTACAGCATCTCGCCGACGAGCATCAATTACGTGTCCAATACAAGGTCTACTATCCCCGCACAAGGAAGAGACAGGCGTTGTATGCATCGCTCCCTTTCGTCTTGACTACATGGGAAACATTCTCTCAAACATCGGCGAAAGACAGCCGGTATCGGGCGGGAGTGTCAATGTCAAGCTGCTCAAGTAGAAATACTACGGGTTCACACCTTCGGCTCGTTCTCTCACATGCTCGTTGCTGCTTTGGAGCAGTCAGCGTTCTACAGCATACCAAACACAAGCCGCACCATGCATATGAATGAAAATCAGTTATACCACAACAAAAACAAAAATCCAATAAGCGAACCTCCTTTGCTCGCAAACGCCCAGCCTTCCCAACCCCTCCGCGCTCATCATGAGATCGAGCAGGATGTCAAAGGGATAGAAATGCGGGATGGCCATCGTGACACCAGCCGCCTGCCGAGCTTTGGCAACACTGGACCGTTTCAGGAGTGCTGCCCTGGCTCTGCACTTTCCGCGACAGTGGTGATCTCATTGGACGCCTCTGGCGCAAACCACCTTTTCTTTTTCAGGAACTTTTCCTCCTCAGTGTATGTCTGCTCCAGTCTCCGAACCACGTCAGTTGCATCTGAAAGAAAGGACATCAAGCTTTCCAAGAAGACTCAGTTGCACCGATCGCCTTCAAGTCCCCAACTTCCTCGTTGCTCAACCTCCTGAAGTGGTGTTTGTAAAGGGCGAGGGCTTTGGATCGGAAGGAGAACGCTTTGCGATCCACCCGCCCCTGGAAGCGCGAGGAGTGCTCCGAGAGAAAAATGCTGCTTGGTATATTCAGCCAAGCAGGATCCTCGAGTAAGAGATCGAGTCGAGATTTCCCAATACCGTAGGACTTGTTGTGGAACCATTTGAGAAATGTCCACAGTTCCGAGCAACCTGCATCGATACGTCGCTCAAATTGATGGAAGTCAACCCAGTCTTCCATTTCCGCCACTGGGAAACGCCCCTCCGTCTTGGAGACAAAGTCCCGCAGGGCTCGCGAAAACACCTTTATCGAAATGCGGGGCGGATCAGAAGTGGTAGAGGGTGGGGTTGTAGCTTGTTGGAATACACGCCAGTTACCCCCAGAGATCGCCGGATGCGGCTCAGCAAGTCACAAGGGCACTCCGGATGCGGCAGAGAGCGTTCCGGATGCGGCAGAGGTCCCACCAGATGCGGAAGCCAAGACAATAAGCCAAGAGCGAGAACAATAAGCACCTTCGACACAGTGGCTGAGACACTGGCGGCGATTGTCGCCCAGAGGCTGGTGGCGTAGACAAAGATGGCGAACTCGACGGAATTGGTAGCGAAGACGAAGGTGACCATACGGTGCATGGGAGAACAATGGGAGCACGGTGAAGACAATAGGGACGCTCAGGCCAGCTGAGAGGTATATAACTGGCAAGGATAGAGCGATCCGAGATGTATCGATCAAGTAGTTCTTCCCCACTTCAGAAGGTCAACATAGCTGCTTGGGAAGCCATGATGTTGGTTCGTAACGGGTATGACACGGAAGTTGTGAAAGCGTGACAAGTCGAGAGAGATTCTGCAAGGTCCTGGACTCGCAGCGCCTGGGTACATATATCAGTCGTTTGCATGAAAGGGCAGCATGAGGCTGGAGATCCACAAAGGGTCTTCCTCGCTCGGGTGTAAAGGAGCGTTTGTGCCACGCTGGCACCATACGGTGTCGCCATATCACGCACTTGTTAAAGGAAGGAGTACACAAAGCCGACATGGTCGGGCGTGTCAAATGTGTTTCATCAGTGTCCTGAGATCGATGTCTCTGCCGTCACAGTGTGGCCGATTAGGGGACATCAGAGTAAGGCCAAGGACGTCATTATGACAAGAGGTCAGGCATACGATCGCACTATCAACAATATCAAGAGAACGTACAGTCTAGTCACAACAGATCCCTGCCCGGCTCTTCCTAGACAGGCAAACCAGCCGACGGGTGTTTCAGAAGCAAAGCCTACCACGGTTGCTCCATCGGCTCTCACAATTCGGTACCCGGTCCCACCAAATCGACCCTGTCCACAGTCCCATTGGCCCGCTTGTCCCAGCCGACAGGGGAGTTCTTTCCGTTGAAGATCTCTTGCGTTGGGGGATAGTTTGACTGGAAGATCAACTCGGTAGATGGTCCACTAGTCCCCGCGCACCTGTGACAGCTTCACGTGGCTATCGTTCTCGCTTGGCATACATACGGTCTCTTGAGCATGACGGGCTGAACCCAAGCTGGAGGGGAGCTTGTTGAAGTCCTGAGGTGAGTTGATGACAGGACCAACGGGAAGTTGTACCCACCGACATGAAGACCTCAGCGGACCTCTCGCGGACATCTCGGTGTCTCTT